AAGAGAAGCAAAACTTCGTTGCTGAATTTCTCAAAGAGATTCTGGATCCTAAATATTCTATAATATGTCTTATCAGTGTATTTTAAACTGATGTAGTTTAAATAATAAAAATTGCATGTTGGGAGGACTACACTAGAATGTTTTTCAGAGTAAGTCAGAATTGTCTCCCAACACAAATTTCAGATATTTGGTGCTGTGGACCCTGTATTACATGTGACATCTCTGTTAACATATTTTATTCTGCATTAGTCAGCTTGCTATGACTCATTGTCATTTTAATATATGTATGTATTATTTTGCTAGCTGCATATCTGTTATAGCTATTCTGAAGAAATATGTGAAATACTATGTATTTTGGAATGTCCTAGTGGAGCAAAAAACTGCAGGTTCTGGAAACAGTTCAAATGACTGGGGGATATGTTCAGAATCCCATCTCAGCCTTGTTTTTGAATTGTATGTCTTTAACGTTACCAGTTTGCTTTCTGGAAAATGGGTGTTTGGTAATTGAGACTGGCCTACATAGATGCCTATATAACACTTTCTCAAAATCTAATTTTGCCTGCTGCCCCCCTCTAAAAAATTAGGGACTTCTGCTCCACATATCGATCTTCTGTCTTTAAGCTGCTAAAAAAATCTGTCTGAAAAAAAGCACTTCAGGTTCTTCACATATATACTTAGAACTAGGTTACTAATACATTTTCCATGCTAGATAAACTGTTTTATTAGAAACTGTGGACTGATACTATTTTCTTAGTAGCAATAATACTCCTGTGACTCTACCTCATGCACTACAGTAGAGTGTGTATGGTAAAGAAGCTCTAGGTATTTTATTTCTTGTTAGTAAGATTTTTCTTTTATATTAGTTTGTGCATAAATGACATATTTAAGAATTAAAGTTTGCATCATTAGAATTGGATTTTTTTGTCATTGTAGTCTGGTAAAATAATGGTCTTATAATCACATTTATTTCTGAATCCAATCATAACATGTCTATATCTCTTTATCATATTGTTACATTCATGCTCCATTAAAAAAAAATTCTAGCAGAGAAGATGATAGAATGGATTCAAATGTCATGGTATTTAATGGCTGCTGTGTAGAACATGTGAAACAAAACCAAACATTTAAATATTAGGTTTTATATACACAATGTTGCAGTCCAGATTTATACAGATAACTGCTTTTTATGGCCTGTGATCTATTCTTCACACATCATTCATCATTTAGGTTTAAATAATAATGAAACAGCAAAAGGGCTGATTATATTTACTTCTAATTGCTGACAGCAAACAACTGTTACTAAGAATCTGTTTCAATACAAAATGTTCTGCTTTAAGCTGTGAAATGTTTTGGCATTTTAACTACAGTTAAGAGGATGCAAGAAAGTTTGATAATGGCCATTATTATTAGATATTAACATATATTCCTAGCCATCCTTCAGCAACATCAAATTTTCAAATCTAGGTTACTTAAGGAAAGCCAGAATATGATCCAAAAATAAACTGCCAACAAGGTTATCCTATTGCAAAGCCAAGTACACTTATCAACTTGACCTTATTTTAAAAAATGCTTCTGAGCCCCTTACATATCTCAGAAGATATGGAAAATATAAATGATGGGAGTGGTGTTGAAAGTGGATCCTCCTATTCAGAAAAATAGGATTTTTATCAGTTTGCCTTATGGTAAATAGATGTTTCATTACTTACCTTATCCACTTAGCAGTTATTTTGTGGGAGTGCCTGCAACATACTCCTAAAATTTCCATTGTGGCTGCTTGCCCCAAAATGTAAGCCTCCTTGTGTTGATGCTACATATTGAAGTTCAGAAGAGGGAAAAACCCCAATAAGTTTTCATATGTTTCATATAATTAGCTGTTATTAATCAAACATTTTTTATTTGATTTCTATCCTACCTTTATTCAGGAGCTCAAGTAGAGTTCCTCCTTTCTCCCCATGACAACAATCCTGTGAGGTAGGTTGGAATGAGAGTGAGTGGCTCCAAACCACCCAGTGAGCTTCTGTGACTGAGAGTGAACTCTCCCTGTTCTTTGTCCAACACCTTCATTGCTATAGTACACTGGCTCCTGATAAAACATTGCTTATTCTTTATCTTTTGAAGCTAAAAATCTGTTGTTTGTTTCTTATATAAAATATATGGATGCAAAGAAATGCTGCTTATGCACCAAATGATAAATTCCATATTTGAACCAACAAAATATAATGAAATTCTAATGGCACAGAAGGCAAACTGTTGATGTCACAAACACATGTTCAAAGGCTAAATAGCTCCCTCCTTCAAACACAAATCTCTTCAGGCAAAATAAGCACACAGCTCATTTTTTTTTAACTAAATACCCATTCACATACATAACACACACACACACACACACCCCCCAGTCTGGGTAGTATGCAGACATTATTTCAGGATTTTGATTATTTCTTTCACAGAAAAGAAGAAAAATCCAACTAGTGATAACTGATGTCTTGTCTACCATATTTTTGCTGTGCAATCTTGGGAATTGTCAGGACCCACAAAAATTCATCTGGGGACTAGCTTGCCAGTTGTGGCTTGCACACCACCACATTAGAGCAGCTTTAAATTCTCCAAAATGACTTCCTTGCTGCATTTTCTTTTATTCTGAGAAAGAGCTACTTTTTCTCAAGATTGATTGATTGGCTAATTTTAAATCCTACCTTTCTACTTATATCAACTCTTAAAAGTGACTAGGAACAGAAGTATAAAATTTAAAACAACAAAATCAGCATCAGCTAATGATGAAACCTTCATGACAAAGACGTATCTTTATGTTTTTTGTAAATACTGGGAGATAGGGGAGAAAGAGCATTCCATCCCGTCACACAGAAGGCTCCCCCCATGTACCACACAAGCTTTGGTAACAGGGCATCTTCAAAATGGTTTCCTACAGATCTAAGTGATTGGACTGGCTTAGAACAGGAGAGGTAGTTTCTCAGTGACCAGGCCATGAACTGTCTAGGGGTTTAAAAATCAGCACCAGCACCTTAATTGGTCCAGTAGGCAGCTGGCAACCAGTGTAAATCTTTCGGTACAAGCATCATGATATACAGTATCTATCTTGTACTGGATAGCAATCTGGTTGTACCAATTTGTACCAGTTGCAAAACATTCTGTTTGTGATCTTTCACAAAAACTGGATGCATGTTCTAGGAAGAATATTGTAATAAGAACTCTTGTACACGAAATTATAATAAGAGCATTTTCAAATGTATTAGGCAGAAAGAAAATTATTAAGGCATAATTATAATCTATTTAAGGAATTGGCAGTTTACGTAGCTTTAAAAGTAAAAAGTGTGAAATACTTTGAAATTGAAAAGAGCTCAGCTGAAGTAGCACACAAACCAAGGTGTCCTAAAGCTCCTTTAGATGCAAATGTTCTCCAGTGTATTTATTTGGACACAATTAGACATTCCCCAGAATTACAAATTGGATATTTGAATGTTCCAGGAGATTGAAAACTACTTCAGTCATTGCTTGACAGAAAAATAATTTGGTTTGTGGTAACATAAGTAAAAATGTTAAACTAGTCTTTGCAAGTGATTTTTTTTTTTAAGGCCACCATAATATATGAAGATGACCTGGTCCATTTATTTGCATCCAAATCTAACTGGATTTTTCCAAGCTTCTTGTACCCCCACCTTTTTCTTCTTATTGGGGAGGTAGTTCCAGAGTGACAGCCTGGCAAATATAATGATCAGCAGAAAGACTGCATATCAGTAACTTGAATTCTACTATTGTTATCTCCTCCATAAATCCGCAAACTCAGATTTCCTCAGCATGCTGGGTTTTTGTTAGTTTGCTTGCTTTAGGGAAGTTCTAACACTATCTACTAACATGAAATTAGAAGACAGATAACACACCACATGGGCTCACATCCATGACATTTGAAATTTCAACAGATCTGAGTCGTCAAGGTGGTGATGACAACTCATTCCATAGAGAGGGATATGTGAAGGAGATTACCCAATAGGAGAATTCATAGTACTGGTAAGTAATCAAGCTGTGGTTGTACTGTTAGTTATAATCACTCCAAATCTTTCCCAAGTGACAGCCTTTGTTGTGACTCATGCTGATCTTTGACGTTTCTGACTAAATGTGACAGTCACTAGTTTGGGGAAAAAAATTCCTTATAGCTTAGGATGGTTTCTTGCTATTTTAGATTGGTTTTGTGACAGATGGCTCATTGGATTTTTCACAAAAAGTGAAAGTATGACGTGTATATATATATTATATACACATACACATACACACACACTTCCAAAATATTTAAACATTTTTTTCAAATTTGTAGGAATAAAATTGCATAATGCGATGTACTCAATTTGTTTGGAAGAAAAGTATATTGTTATTTTTTTAAGAAAAATGCTAGGGCATTAAACAATGTTACTTTTGCCATGAGTACCCACATAGAAAACCTGTACATTTTAATTTTGCTGCAGCAACTTATTCATATGAAGCAGCATTTAAATCCTGCAGTTGCTTCCCCAACCCCCATGTGAAATAAAAATGAATAGGTACTTCAGTACTTCACTGCAGCTATTGAAGCTGTTTTGAATGTTCTGTTCTTGTTTCAGAAATAACTCTTAGGTTTGGAAAAAGGAGGGGAGAAAGAGAGAGGGCTTTTCTATAAATTGTCAGTCAGATTAGCAATTTTTATGTATTCTGGTAGGTTGCTTAGAATCAAACGTGATAAACCACTTAAGTGGTTTTAATTTATTGTGTTTATTTCCATATTTGTAATGGACTGATCATCTGTTCTTGTATAATACCAAGAAAAGCACCCCATACTGTAGTGTCATGTAAATTCAGTTTTGTTCTTCAATACCCAAATTTTGACTGAGAAATCTCCCTTGAGAGAAAATGCTTTAGTATGCTAGCAGGAAAACCTTTCAAGAACAGCCTATTTTCTTCCTTTATTTTAAGACATTACTTTTAATGGCATGAAATTCGCTATGTGTTCACAGAACTGTGCTAAAGAATAATGATTTAAGATCAAGACAAGAATTAACTACCCATCTCACCAATCAGTGGCCTTCCCCAGGAGCTCTGGATGTTAATGCTGTTGCCTTGGATACGCTACTTTATGGAAAGCAAAATAAGCAATGGGATGAGTAAGTTGATATATTTGTGCAGTGCTCCTAAAATCCCAGAAATCTCATTCATCTTCCTCCACACACACATCTTATCCATCAGAGTTTTGGGTCTCAGCAGACAACCAAAAACTGCTGGATGCCTAATCATTAAAACAGTACAGAAATACTTGTGATAAATATTTCATTACCTTAAAATACATTTAGAGTACTATAATACAAATACTTTATATTGTGTCCAGTGTACAATTTTTATACTTGTGTGTGTGCACACAGTGATTTAATATTAATGTAAACACATCCTGTGTAAGTAGATTGGTTTTATTAATTTTGCTTGTCAATGCAAATTGTTCAGTAGAACTTAGTAGCTGCTGATTAGAAAGATGGGAAGCAAAACTGAAACTCAAATATTTTGACGTTGCATAATTTTAGAGAGCATTATATGTGACAATGGCTGTCCTTGAGAAATATATTAAATCTGTGTGAGCATAATGAAAGGTTTGCAGGATGTTCAGATACTGCCTATCCTGTGTTTTTTTTATGTGAACCTTCTCCTTCTTCAAGCTTGGCTTTATTAACAATAATTAAAAACATACCGAATCAGATGTAATGCTGAAGAACTGTAGAGCGAATGCAGAACTCTCTCACAAGAAAGATGTCTACACCTTGTTCAGCATTAAGGCTTTACCAGGGTTTAAATTTGGCATTAAATTTACATTGTTTTTCATTTTATAGTTGAACTAACTGCATATTACCCCAAATCTGATTAGCTCGTGAAATATAATTTAGTGTACTGTAGTATATTGTGCATCAGAGAATATTCATATTTGATTAACTGAGCAATAGTTCAACTTTGGAACAAGAAGTTGTAGTATACCAAAATCTTCAATTAGCAGTGAAGCTATTTTTAAAATTGTTGGAACAAAGATTATTTCAGGTATTATATATGATACATTGCAATACATTAAGATCATTTAAATAAACATGCTCGTAGGAAACAGTATTGCTTTTTAATTTTCAGTACAAATTCCCATTAGGATATTATTAACCGTTAAGTATGAGGATGTTCATTATTAATGTGCATGCTGTCAAGATGAGTATTTGATCTGTAATCTCAAAGAATGCACCAAAACAGTGATAGTGCACAGACTTATCCTATCTCAAGCATGGTTTAGTTTGTTGCTACTTATTTTCATATCCATGAGTTGTTTGGGAAGAAATGTAGATTTCCTCACCCGTAAACTGCAATTCAGCCATTACTGCTTATCATATTTTGTTGGATGACGTGAAAGTGTAGATATGTGATTTTTTTTCAAGTCACGCATTTGAAAATAGTTATAATCTCAATCTATTTATGTATTTATGCATAAAGGTTGGGAGATTCTCAACCTTTTCTTGAAAGTTAGGACTTCTGTTTTAGTTAGGTAAGTATGTAAGAAAAGCCCGTATCAATAAGACCCAAATCCTATCTGCATCAGTTTCCTGCACTGCAATGTTAAAGATTAGATGCATCCAGAAAATGCGGAAGTACTATATATAGGTGACAGCTCACCTTCTATTTTACTTGCTACAATTTATTTTGATTTTGTAAGTAATAAATAATAGTATATAGCTATTATGATTAGCAACCATTGATAGCTCTATCCTCCATTAATGTCTCTAATTTTATTTTAAATAATTTAGATTAGCCATCTAGAGGTTCTGAATTCCATAGACAACCATGTGTTGATAATTTATAAGAGCTCTACTTGTTTTTCTCACAAGATCAGATTGCATAGAGATTACATTTAATTGTAGCCCTATACTTATAGAAACATAGTCCCATAGTTTATATTGGACCTGAATGGGTGTTGTACTATTTAGTGCTAGTATTGCCATCAGATCATTTATAGTTTAATTATACTTTATCTCATATTTACACCTTGCTTTTCAGCGCAAAGTAACTGAAATAATTTACCACCATGTACAATGTAATGTTTTGTAAGGAAACATTTTTTTTTGTTGTGACAGGAGATGAACTGATAGTGTCTTTGTTTTCGCAACATGACACATGCATGCTATCGTGAGAGGCAAAGATGGGACAGACAACAAGGAAAGAAATAGTAGTACCAGTAGGGCTACAATTGGCATGACTAAAATAATAGCATATGACTCATAAGGAGCTGCTGATTAGTTCAGCTATGCTTATTTTTATTATTTTTTACTCGTTTTACATATTAAACTCTAATTACTTAGAATTATGAATAGGGAAAAGACTTGGAATGTAAATGAGATGTTGCTTTGTTTGGGTAACCCTTTGCACAGACTCTGCCTTTTGTATCTAAGCGATATACAGGTTAAACAAATTGGTTCTGATTGCATTTATCTAGAATGATGTTAAGGTTTAAAGTTTTCATTTTTTGGTAAAGTAATGCTTTTAAAGTGTATCCCTCAGCAATGGCTATGACTGATTTTTTTAAAAAAATCATTGCTTACAATAAAGAAAAACAAAACATAACCACAACAAAAATAAATGGAGAAAAACAAAAATATTCATGATAAAATACATTAATAAGAATTGAACCTTGACCACATGAATAAATATAGATCAGACTGTCTTGATGTCAATACAAAACAAGTTCATAGGTAGAGAATGAATACACTTCATCAGTCCAGGCTTTAAAATCAGGCATGAGTGCATTTCCATCAAGTACAATTTTTTTAGCTACAATCCATGTTTGATAAATCCTGAGTCTTTCATTTGTTGTTGAATTCCAAATATATGAAATATAGTTCAATATTACATCAACATCGTTGTATCTTATCTTCCCAATACTGTATTAAGATATTTATTAATATTGAACCAAAAAGGGACCGTCATAGAGCAGGCCCAAACATATACTGTATGTCAGTGACCCTTCCACAATTTTACATATTCAACATATTACTTAACATCCTGCAATGAATTTAATACACTCAAAAGAGTATATTTTATTGGATTAACCACATTTCAAGACACATATTTAACACTGTTTAATACATTAGTCCACTGATTTTTGAAAACAAAATATTTCAACCAATTAGTATAATTTACTTTCAGTTTTGTGTATGTATATGTGTGGGGGGGGGGGAGAGAGAGAAAGAGAGTCCCTTTCAGGAAAGTGTAGTTCACTAACAATAGATAGCTTTTTCCAATAATAAAAGCAGTGTAGAGGTTCAATGCAGGAAAGGCAA